TACTTATAACTGTAAAACCTACTGTATAAGTACATATTTTGAGTATTATTTTGGTTTTAACTGGCCATTTCATGCACTTGTTGACCAAAAATATTTATTTTTAGCTGAATCTGTCGCATTAAAAATTACCTAAAAACCGTTTTTGTTGAGTGCAAGAAAAGGATCGATTTAATTTAAATAATTTTTTAATATATTGATGTCACCTCGTATTTTAACTACTTTAAAAGCATTTCTTTAGATTCTAAAAACTAACTAAACTGTGCAAAAAGTGTTATAAAACCGTTTTTAATCAGTGGAATAAGTCTTATGTATCGAGGCACTAAAACCACTAGAATTTCAAACTAAAAATATTCCTAAAACTATACCTAATTTTATTTGTATGACAACCAAGCATATTTTTTTTAATTCTGTACGTACAAAAATTTTTTAAAAAATATGTTGCTGCAGCTTTAATAAGCAATATTTCGTTTTAATTAGAACTTTCACTTAAAACAGTTTTACTTTCATAATTCAAAATCTAATTCATATGATATTTCGGTAGCCCTCGCATTTATGATTATAAAATAATTCTAATGATTGTTATTTTATTATTTAGTCCACCCGGCTTTCGATAATACACTGGGGATGACCATGCATTCGCGTTAGTCAAGCTAAAACTAACAGTGGCTAAGGATATCCTTTCTACTATACAAATATTGTGGCGATTCGTAAAATGATCAGTATGGTTTCCGCATATAAAGGCTCAACTATATATATCAAAAGAACTGCAAATACAAGTTTGAATACAATTTATTAGATTTCTATTTTCGTATATAGTTTTACATAGAATGCCAGATGGTCATTCATTTTTTTTAATACAAACTTATGTAGAATGAACAGAGACCTGTTTTGATATTTATCTTATAAGCAACAACAGTATATATCTTATTTCTGTTAAGCAAGTTGAGTTTCTTATTATGATTATGATTAATATATATACATATATCAATATATTGAGTGTGCAGTTTTGATAGTAATAAAATTAGAATGAATGTTAGTTTAAAATATTTTTATTGTTGTGATTTATTCGTTAAGTGTAAAATGAATATTGCAAATGAAATGAATTTTTCCACAACTGCCAACCGTCTAGTAAGGGTTTCATTTGATTGACTGTTATGATTTTGGACGGATCAGGTGGAAATTATTTTCATATTTTATTAATTCATTTATAAATTATAAATGAATTATATGAATTAAATTAGACTATAATTTACACATTTTGGGTCTTTTAAAGTATTTTATCTCATCTCTGCCTATAACACATATTTCGTTTGGAAAATACTAGGCTATATTATATTCTCATTGACGTGACTTTAATGACAGTAATCATAATCTCAGTAATCTCGCCAAGAAATTCAATGTAAAGCACATGATGTTAATGAGTTGTATTTCATATTCTTAACAATGCTTAAAATAAACGGTTTCTCCATAAAATTACTTTTTCTTGTGATCATTGGCAATTTCCTTGATCCTTTCAATAAATTTTGAAGGTTGGTCTACCCGTGGTACCTAAAAGAAATTAAAAAAATTTTTTTTCTTACTTATATTTAAGAAAATATTTATAGAAAAGCTTACGTCATAGTTCTGGCTTATGTAGACACCGGTATAGATTCCAGCACTAAAAGTTATCTGCGAAATAAAATAAAATAATATTATAAATTAAAAAATTTAAGGACAGTCATTTACAAGAAAAAAAAAACAATACTAACTACTGGTAAAATGAAACCCATTATGGAATACTTTAAAAGACCCAAGTACAAAACGAATAACAAAAATTAACGGAAACTTTAGAATTACATTAAAAACATTTATATTTTCTTCTTAATTTAAACACATACTTATTTAGTTTATATAAACCTACTAAGTTAAAATAAAACCAAATAGAAAACATATTTTTTTTTAATATAAAGTTTAGTTTCGTCGTTAATTAAATACTTTGCAGTCTAATAAAATTTTAAAAGGTGTGTGGGGATATCAAGTGCAGTTCCTCGAAATAAAGAGCTTATTATCCATAGATTAACATTTTAGACAGCTGATACATTTAAATACACCCGTGACAGTGTTCATTAATGAATAATCATAAACGGTAGTTTTGCATGAACTTAACGAACGATTATTGGGGTAGTGCGTCGTTGAATAGTTTTAAGCTGCGTGAGTGGAAGGAATCACTTCATAAGAATTGGTAAGCTGCAGTTCAGGTTCTGTTATATTAAAAGTGATGAAATTAATAGCTTTGACTTTGACAGATTTATTTCGCAATTACTAAGGATATATTTTATTGCTACCAAAAATAGCAGCTAAAAGGAAAGGCACACTTTTTATGTTGAATCCATACCCACTGTAAGTAATGTAAGATTTGTTTAATAAAAAATAGTTAATACATGATTTTTTAACGAACTGAACGAAAGATTCTTTGAGTAGTAGACTATTCGGTGAATAGTTATAAGCTGCGTAAGTTAAAGAATCATTTTATAAGAGGTGAAAAGCTGCAGAAGAGGTTCAGTTGTATTAGAATTGATGAATTTAATAAACTAATTTTTTTTATTTGTGACTTTGGTAGGTGTATTTCGCAACTACTAAGAGTATACCATATATTACTGTAAACGAGCAGCTAAAAGGAAAGTCATACTTTTCAAGTTGAGTCGAGATCCAAGGTAAGTTGTTGTGTAAGTTTTAACAAATGAAAAATAGTTAATACGTCGTTTTCAAACGATTATTGATTAAGTGCGTCGGTGAAAAATTTTAAGTTGTGTAAGTTGAAAGAATTACTTCAATCAAGGCGATAAATTAGTGACGAAATTGAAAACCTTTTTTTATTTGTAAGTTTGGTAGGTGTATTTTCCAACTACTAAGGATTACTTCTATCAAAAATAGACTTACTAAAAGGTAAGTCACACTCTTCAAATCAAGGCCACACCCAAGATAAGTTATGTACGATTTGTCTAATAAAAAATAGTTAATATGTCGTGTGTCCGAACGAACTTACGATCATTGAATCGGTAAATATTTTTAAGCTACGTGAGTTGAAGAAATCACTTCTAAAGAGGTGGTAAGTTGCAGAAAAGGGTCAGCTGTATTAAAAGTGACGAAATTAAAGTGTTTTTTTTATTTGTAAGTTTGGTATGTGTATTTCGCAACTATTAAGGATATGTATTGCTACGATCAAAAATAGCAACTAAAAGGCAAGTCACACTCTTCAAGTGAAGGCACACCCAAATTAAGTTATTAAACAAAATCTGTCTAATAAAAAAGTCTTGTCAGTAAATTTTCGTTGAGATATGATATGTAAGAATTATTTCTAAACCATAGTTCTAACATCGAATTCACACGAAAAATTAACACAAAACTTTATGTAAAAGAAATGTTTTACAAAACTTTAACAATGTAAATATTTTTTTTATAGAGATATACAGATTTTTGTTGAGTATAGAGATTTATGCCAATTTTTCGTGCAAAATAAATCTTAGTTTTAAGCTTAATATATTTTTTGTTGTGCCTAGCAATGCATAAATTGACATTAATAATTATAGTTGGATAGAGCTTACAATCTATGGACAATTATAATTTATAATAATCAACAATTAGCAAAGGTGTTTGAACCGATAGTGTGCATTTAGTAGTCAATAAATTTATCATATATACATATATATGGATGTATGACGCGTTGCATGAGAAAGGTTTGCTAGCACTTTTCAGAGTCAGGATCATTATACTTATAAATCTCATAGTTTTGGATAGTGTGCATTTAGTAGTCAATAAATTTAGCATATATACATATATACGGATGTATGCCGCGTTGCATGAGAAAGGTTTGTTAGCACTTTTCGCGGTCAGGATCATTTTACTTATAAATCTCATAGTTTTGGACAAAATGTTGTATAATAATTGTAGCGAATAATTAAAATTAATCTTATATATACAAGTTACTGAATGAGTTGTTATTTTGAAATTGGTGCTAATAAGCACGTATTAAATTATTTTATTCAAACACTTTACACTTAACTGCACAAGTTCAATTAGACCTAATTATAAAAACAGAAAAATTATTTACATAGAAAACATATAAAATTTGTAAATACTTTACCACAAATTTCAGGACATCGTATACACCAAAGCCGTCTATAGCCACTATAATTTTAATATTATTAAATAAAAACAAAAATTAAAACTTCACCATGAAATTTTTTTAATAGCATGTAAGAATAGCACAAATGTGAAAGCGAGATAGCTACACTTAATACTACCACGAATATACGCGTATAACAAAGAAGAATTATACATTTTTGACATTTTCTCTTTTCACTATTCTTTCATAAATTTTTAATTAATTAGGTAATAAAGAACTTTAACTTCACTAAATAATATAAAATTTATTTTCTTTAATATTTAATTATTTTTTATTCGAATAACTAACGAAAAGATATGAAATTAACAGAATAAAAGATGTTAAAGTTTATTTACTTATCTGTTAAATAATTCACCACTCTAAGATATTATATGTCGCCCCTTAAGAAATTCACACTATGTGCAAAACCGAACTAATCCTAACAATTAAAATATGCAAACTGGCTAAACAACAAATGTGCTAAATAATAAGGTATTTTTAAACATAAAAACATTATGTTACGTCATATTTATTTTTACATATGTACATATATTCGTTTTTAAAATGTTTCTTAACGAAGGCACAAGTATGTAAGACTAGCAGGATTATAATCAAACAAAAAAATGTTTATAAAAATATTAATAACATTTAACATTAACATTTATTAATTATTAGTCATATTGACGTATGAATAATAATAATAGTTGTTCAGATATGTAGTCTTATTTTAACTATTTAACAGAATTGGTATGTAAGCACCGGTCAAAATGACCGGTTTATTGAAAGCCAAAAATGCATTGTTTGTAAACAAAATGCACAATAAAAGCAACAAATAAAAATTCGTAAAATAACAGCTGTAGCAGCATAAAGTTAGAGGCTATGCTTAATTTCCTACTGTTTTGGTAAAAAATAAAAAATCTAGTAGATTTTTAAAATGGGTTAAATCTTTAATGAATAACTTCACAAAAGAAATGTACTTTTGGGAAGTCGATAAATTTGTTGCAACCTATAGGATATATTTTTATTCTGTATTTATAAGATAATATATTTTGTTCTCTTAAAAATGTTCCTACCAATGTTTATATCTATCAACAAGCCGCTGATTCTATCAAAAAACCTACACCGCACAGCTTAATGTGATGCATCGCTGTTTTTATAACAAAAAAATATCGCCTAAATCAGGGCTATCCAAAGTACGGCCCGTGGCTAATGTTTATGCGGTTCGCGACATGTTTTTAGTCTACTGCAATTACTCAAATATTATTTTGGTGTGCTGGTAAAACCACAATACTTTATTTTTATGATAAAAAACTAGATTTAACATTATAACCGTATTTATAATAACTATTAACGTATGTATGTATTTATTTCTGCGGCCCTCCAATCTGTACAGTAATTTGTATTGGCCCGCGATCGCATCTGATCTGGACCGCCTGGCCTAAAGGATCAGCACCTATTTCAACTTCTCTTAACTTAAGAATTTTAAGAAGTAATACCTAATTATAGATATAGTTGTAGGGGATATTAATTCCCTATATTTATAATGTACAAATCTCTTTTATATGGTCAATATACAGTGGTTCTCAGCTCATTTCATCCAATACCAATTTTAAAATTTCCCCAGTATTCCCCCAGTATTTATGCACATCGTAGGGATTAATCGAGGAGTATAAAAAATATAAAGTGCTTGTTGTCTACTCTTCCAAACCATACTTTTTTTGCTGTAGATGAAAGGCATCGAAAGCCACTGTGTGAGACTTGAATCCATTAAAACCACATTTTTAGAAGATTTCCATAGTAATGTGTAAAAACTTGATTCGAGTAAACAAGGAAGAGAGTTGAGAGCATGAAGTTTAATACCTAGTGGCACGGTTTATCTAGAAAGCATGGTCATAAAGAAGATAGACAGAGAATTAATCCTAACCATGCTTTTAAAATGCTACTTTTAAATAGAAACCCATTATTTGTGATAATATATTTTGCATTACAAATCATGATAGCACTCATTTCCTAATTGCTTTAGAGACGTTATCAACTGCGGTTTTTGGTATAGATTGAACTTTCTGCAATTTCAAGAACCTGTTTAGTCACTGTCATACTCAATCCGCATATATCTCATTGAAAAACTTTACATCGACCAAATCTATAGGTGACCAAAATTACTTCCTAGGCTACGTCTACTATTATTTATCTAAACTTTGATCATGATTTCTTTTTGATTGTGAATAAAAACTTATTATTCGAAATCTTCTGTTGTGTTCTGTAATTTTCTTCTTTATACTATTTCGTGAATCATCAACTAATTTCCTGCTTGTTAATAGAAAAGTAGTCCACAACATTTATTGTGGTTTACTTCCTCGAATCTTTGTTAGTAGACATTTATTCAAAGGCATTTTTAATCTATGGCAGATTATTTAATCCCCTTGAATGTCAAATGTCAACTTGCAAATGCTATTACTCTTTCAGCGTTGTTGATCAGTTAAGATCTGATGTTGTTTTTTCATTGGTCGTGTTTGAAGACAAAACTTTCGACTAAAGTTCATGAAGATGAAAAGGGGCGTCTTTTTTTTTGCGATCCTTGATGGTATTACCTTATCTGAACAGGCTTAATAAGAATATGGTATGTTGGCAAAGTCGGACACAAATCTTCGATATTTTGACATTATGCCTAGGAGTTGTCCTATCTGAGGTATGCTACTAATAGATTCAATACGCGAATGACTGTTACATTGTCAATACGTTATTTCTTGAGGTTTATGGTTTTGCGATTTGCAGTATTACTCATAGCAACTTAATTTGGCGTATCAGCGTAGGACCATTTCGTTTAAATATGTGAACTTGTTGTGTTTTAAATGGGTTCAAATTACAAGCACGTTGCGTCCTGTAACCGTATAATGATTGCTGACTAAACTACTTGACGTTTCCGTTTCTAATATTACTTGAAAGAAATGATTAATGAATTGGCACTTGCTGCGATTAAGGTTCTGTTTAAATGCAAGTGCATTGCACTATCCCATCACTGTCTAAAATAATCAATAGTAATAATATCTATAGATCTACACTCTTGGCAGTATAAGTATTCATTGTCGCTACATTAGTTTTATTTGTCTTTATTATGGGGTTCCAGTTTTGGATGAATTTGCCTTATTTTGTCTTGTTCATCGTGATGTACGGATATTCACTGAGAGTA